CTCGGGCGGCACCTCGGGACTCTATGGTCGCGCGATCTCTGCGCCGTGCTGGCACCTGCGCCAGCTCGCGCACCTGCCCCGCGCGGCCTCCCGGGGTTCTGGGCTCTGTTTGCTAAAGTAACGCGGACGCGGAGAAGCAAACCGATACCTCCAACGCCAGTCACGGTTGTTGAGGGGTGGCAAGGATAGAGACCTACCCTGGGGGGCGGAGGCTAGAATTCTGGCTCCTCCTTATTCAATCATTCCTGACCTCCATTGAGTCAGTTTCTTACCGGTAAAGGAAAGTTAATACTTCCCATGCATACTTCACAGGGTTGTTGTGAGAATCAAAGTATGTATGAAGACGCCTTTTAAATTTCAGTGCAAATGTGACAGGTGGCTTTCTCTGGCCCCTTCTGGTTATTATCAATGTGCTTCTACAGGTTTTTCCATAGATGTAATAGGGATGTTTTGTTAAAAGTTATTTTTTCCTGAACCCGATTTCATGTGCACTTGGTTACATAATATTCCAATACCATTTATTCAATACAATTTAAATACTTCTTATGGGCCAGACACAGGAGATTAATTAGAATTGGCCTGGGGAAAAGAATGAAGAAATAAAATGGAGTCACTGATTAAGCTGCTAAATTATAAAAATCAAATAGGCTCAGGCAGAGGAAACAATTCTGTCTTTGCTTTAACTAGCCTGGGAACTTAAACTTTTGAATTTTTTCAGTTGTGCATCAGTGCCTATATGTACCTAAATTCCATAGGTAAACCTCTGAAGGACTTTAAGAATGTTCATGCCCTGGAGGGGGGTGGGTGGGTGGGTGGGGGTGTGTGTGTGTGTGTGTCTGCCTCTGAGAGGAGACCACACTCTATTGAGTGTTACCTCTTTTCCAATAAACTTTCCTATTGACTCTAAATTTGGCATGTGTGTTGAATTCTTTCTTCACTCTCTACCAAAGGACCCTCTTCTCTCTATGCAGGGCTTGGTCTCCCCACCCCCACACCCTCCCTGCGTCACTTGGACTAAGAATGAAGGACTGACTTTTCTAAGACATGTGCTCTTTACTACGAAAACTCCCACCCTTTCTTTTTCCTTTGGAACACTCTGGATATTGCCTACCTGTGTTTTCAATTTACAAATCCTAAGCTGCTTGAACAAAACATTGTCATTTTTAATTTTAGCAAAGCCTCCTGTTTCATTTATGCTTGGTTGGCAGGGCCCTGTCCTTAATTTATCCAACCATTCCCTTTTTGTTGAACTTTCAAATTGTTCGTTACATTCTAAATGTTCCGAATAAACATGTTTATATAAATAGCACTCTTTATTAAACCTCTCTTTTTTGTTTTCATGGGCTATGTTGCCAGTATTGGAGTTATGCCAATTTCAATTCATAAAATACTTTTTTAAGTACCATTGGAAGCAAGACATTGATCTAAGCAGAAAACATAAAGAAACAATGGTAAGTAGCTAAAGAGCCATGGTTCGTTATCTTAGAAGTTTATTGAGGAGAGAGAAATACACAAATAAGTTTAATATAAGACTAAAATGCCATTTGCTACAAGACAACCTTATATAAAAGGCTAGAGGAACGTTAAAACCAGAAGAGATTACATCTTTGGTGAGGATCAGGAAATGTTTAATTAAGAAGGTAGCATACAAAGGATGAATAATATTTTTGAGTGACAGAAATTGGGGGTGGGGTAGGGAGAAGCACTTTCCACTAGGACCTAACAATATGAACCAAAGCATTAAGGTGAGAAAATGCAGGACGTGTTGAGGAGACAATGAGTATTTCATTTGGCTAGGCCTGAGTTATGCCTAGAGGAATAGTAGGAATTGGACCAGACTCTTGGTTTGAGCCACATTGTGGAAGTCCTCTGTAAATGCCAAGAGTGAAGATAGATCTGGCAACAGCATAGGCAACCGATTGGACAGAGGAGAGTTGTAACAGAGAATTCTGTTAGAAAAATATTGGAATAATACAGTGCTATGATCAGAAAGTATCCCCACAAAATTCGTATATTGAAATCCTAATACCCGATGTGATGGTATTTTAAAGGTGAGGCCTTTGACCCCTTTCTCCCACCTTCATGAATGGAACTAGTGCCCTTATAAAAGAGACTCTAGAGATCACTACCCCTTTCACCATATGAGCACACTGTAAGTCAATAGTCTGTAACCCAGAAGAGGGCCTCTCCAAACCCAACCATGTTGGCACTCTGATCTTAGACTTCCAGCTTCCAGAACTGAGAGAAATAAATTTCTGTTGTTTAAAAGCATTATACGGTCTGTAATACTTTGCTAATGAATAGACTAAACATACAGATAGTGGGCAATTACAATAGTCTGAATAAGAAAGATAGGAGAGTGTGACATTGAGATTAGAAAGGAAGAAACAGATGTAAAATAACAGATGTAAAATAATTTTAAAGAAAGAAACCACAGAATTTGATAGCTGATTAGATATTTTAAGGAAGAAAAAAAGATAGTTAAAAGTTAGTGTCAAAATTTGGAACCCTAGTGACAAAAAAAACTAGGGGCTGTGATATATGTGTGGAGAGCACTGTCCCTATAAATAAAGTTTTTGGTTTTGTCTAACATTGCACCACTGGAAAACATCTGGATGGATATCCTTAAACCAGATTTGGAAGATATGGTTGAGATTATCTCGTTTAAAACACAGTGGCATATGTGTGGCACATATAAAATACATTTGGGAAGACCTTGCAGAAACCTCAAAGATATGTGAATCGTTTTCCAGAAATGGAATACCACAAGAAGTAGTGTGCTAGATGATAAGAACAGATACACTGTTAAGACATTTTTGACAGAGACACATGGTTTAAAGTCACACGGGCTAGCAGTCTGAATCGAAGACCTCAATTGTAACCAAGCTGCTTTACTCATGGTGCTCAAAGCAAATAGAAATAGAAATTTATTTAAGGATAGTTAATGATTCTCCAGGGAAATACTGGTTTGTCCAGCTGATAACTACAAATCAGCATAAAAAATGGTTCTCAGTTCCTGACAGTCAAAGGAGAAAGGTAGGTTTCTTAATATTTCATAAAGAGAGCAAGCAGCAATTCACCGTGAAAACAAACTTTCCTAGAACTAAAGACAAGGGAGAATTGATCAATTTGACATTTCACAAACAAGTAACATTGTCATCAATAGTCATAAATTGAACTATGTGTGACTTCTAAACATGAGATGTAGAAATTATCTTCGGATCACTATTTCTTATACTAACCTTATTCTAGATACCTTATATAAGTGGAATCACAATATTTGTCCTTTTGCATCTGGCTTATTTCACTTAACATGTTTTCAAGGTTCATTGTATAAATATACCACATTTTCTTTATTCATTCAGCTATTGACAGACATGTGGATTATTTCCACCTTTTGGCTACTCTGAATAATGCTGCTATGAACATAAATATATATCAGACATTTTTAAAGCTTTTACTCCTTAGGAAAACAGAAATTTGAGGAGAATTTTACCTAGGTAGTTAAGGCTCTGTACTAATGAGGGAGACTGAGACACCTGCAAAAAGTAAGAAATCACAAATCAAGAAAATTCTGACACATTCTACAATGTGGATGAAACTTGAGGACATTTTGTCAGTAAAATAAGCCAGGCACAAAAGGACAAACACTGCTCGATTCCACTTATCTGAGGTACAAAGAGCAGTCAAGTTAACAGAGAAAGAAAGGAGAATGGTGTTTGCCAGGAGCTAGGAGGAGAAGGAAACGAAGAGTTAATGTTTAATAGGTACACATTTTCAGTTTTGCAAGATGAGAAATGTTCTGGAGATGGATGGTTGCACAACAATGTGAATGTACATAATGCCACTGTACACTTAAAATGTATACAATGTACATTTTTAAATGGTTAATTTTATGTTATATATATTTAACCACACTTTTTAAAATAAAAATAATAAATGAGAAAGTAAAGGTAGAAGACTTGCTCTTATGTCACTATTAAATGATCACATTTTTAATTCTATTTTATGAGTGAGTAAAAGAGACAAGAGCCATATAGCCGCAGCCACGTTGGTAAGTCAATCAAGGCAAGTTTGGATAACATCAAATCCATTGTTTACATGTATTTAAATGTATGGGACAGATGGAAAAACAATTATCAGCTTGTCGGCTTGTCAGCTTTCACATTCCTGTGATACAAATGCCACTCTGCCATCCTTGCAATGAAGCATGAATCCACAAGCCTTAAAAAAAATGCAGAGGACTGATGCCCTCATCAAAAATTTAAAAAAGCACCAAACTCAGCAATTAAAACCAAAAACTACCAGAAAAATATTTTGGAAACTTTATTTATTTATGTATTTACTATTTAGAAGTTAGCCTTCCAAGAAAAGCTTCTCTCTTAGAATTGTGTGAGGTCACAGTTCTGTCACATAAGCCAAAATTCTCTCCTGAGAACAGGATGCTGAGAGCTTACAGTTACTGAGTACAGACAGTGAATAAGCTTCATTCTATATGCAGACTGTATTTTTTAGCTTCTGGTCTTCTCCGTGACCAGTGGTCTCGATAGGAGTTTTATGGCCAGAAATTTTTATGTAACTTATATTTTTGAAGAACCTATTGTACATCTTTATCAAATAGAATCCTGGGCTTTAGCCCCCATTAAAAAAAAGTTAGCCTTTATTTCTTAAGCTGGTTATGGATACACTGGTATTCATTTTATTGTTATTCTTTAACTTGTACATGTGTTAATGTAATCATTAGTAGTATAAAATATT